TTATATATTTCAACTCTAAAAGTCATATGTCATTGCGGTAATTGAGCTAATTCAGCTTTGTGGTAATCTTGAATAATTATGATCTTTGGTTAAAGTATTTCACCTGATTTTTTTCAAGTGTTTGCATTTGTTATTTAAACATGTATGTTGAATACTTTTTTGGGATCTAATAATTATCAGGAATTGAGAGATGGATAGGTCTTGGATAAAGGATGGTAACAGGTTGTCTGAAGAATACAGAAATGGAGTTGATGAATTCTTACAATTTTCTATGCTTAACTCAGAAAATCGTAGATCACTTAGGTGTCCGTGTAGAAGTTGTTGTAATATGGAATTTCATAAGCCTGAACAAATAAAAGTGCATTTGTTAAAAGTTGGTTTCTTGGAAACGTACCTTGTTTGGACTAGGCATGGAGAGACTGGAAAAACTCCAACCAAAACTCCGACCTTTTATCCTTCACAATCAACATTTCATGATCAAAATGAAATTGGTGACATGTTAGGCGATATTTATGAAGAATTAGAAGGTAACCCAAAGAGTCTTAAGAATGTAGTTGAAGATGCTGAGAAACCATTATACTCAGGTTCCAGTTATACAAGGCTTTCAGGGTTATTGTTGTTGTATAATGTAAAAGGAAAATATGGATGGTCTGATCAAGGGTTCTCAGCTTTATTAGAAGCTCTTTCGAGCCTACTACCCATTGATAACACCCTTCCCAAGTCAATGTATGAAGCTAAAAAAATAATGAAGGTGTTAGGTTTGGATTATCAAAAGATACATGCTTGTCGCAATGATTGCATCCTTTTTCACAAGCAACATAGTGATCTTGAAAAATGCCCTACGTGCGGAGAGTCTAGGTGGAAAGAGACAAAGAATGGATCCATAACAGCTCGTAGTAGAATTCCTGAGAAAGTATTGTGGTACTTTCCTCCAATTCCTCGGTTCAAACGTATGTTCCAGTCTCCTAAAACCGCTGAAGATATGACGTGGCATGCAAACCATCGCATTAAAGATGGTAAATTGCGTCATCCTGCTGATGCTCAAGCTTGGGATCACATTGACAAAATGTGGCCTGATTTTAGTCAAGATCCTAGGAATCTGAGGTTAGCTCTTTCAAGTGATGGAGTAAATCCACACAGTTCACTCAGTTCTTCGTATAGTTGTTGGCCTGTTCAGTTAGTCATTTATAATCTCCCCCCTTGGTTGACCATGAAAAGAAAATTCATGATGTTGTCTCTCTTAATTTCTGGTCCTAAACTTCCCGGGAATGATATAGATGTCTACTTAGAACCCCTAATTGATGACCTTAAAACCCTCTGGAATGATGGTGTAGATGTTTTCGACAGTTTTAGAAAGGAGACCTTCAAGTTAAGGGCTATATTGATGTGGACCATAAGCGACTTCCCTGCTTATGGTAATCTGTCTGGCAGCACCGTGAAGGGGTATTATGGTTGCCCTGTTTGTGGGTCGGGTACTCGTTCAATATGGCTGAAATGTAGTAAGAAATGTGTCTATATGAGCCATCGTCGCTTTTTACCAAAAAATCACAGGTTTAGAGATCTGAAGAAAATCTTCAATAATCAAGTTGAGAAAGAGGGACCTCCAGCAGCCCTCTCTGGTGAAGATGTTCTGAAGTTGGTTGAAGGAATAAATTACAAACGCGGGAAGCGCAAGGACCACAGGCGAAAGAGAAAGCGTGATCACAATGATGGAGACAATAGACTGTTCAAGCGCAAATCAATTTTTTTTGATCTACAATATTGGAAACATTTGTTGGTTCGTCATCTATTAGATGTGATGCACATTGAGAAGAATGTGTGTGAAAGCATCTACGGAACGCTTCTTGATCAATCGAGCAAAACGAAAGATGGACCTAGAGCTCGAGATGACCTTGCTCATTTGAACATTAGGAAAAACTTAATTCCTAAAGAGAATTCTAAATCATTGCCTCCAGCACCTTACACCCTGAGCAAAAAAGACAAACAAAAATTTTGTGAAACCATACTGCAAATAAAAGTGCCTGATGGTTATTCCTCTAATCTGAAAAGCATAGTTTCCGATGATGACAGTCACCTTCAAGGTCTTAAATCTCACGACTGTCATACCTTGATGCAACAAATACTTCCCTTGGCCATCCGGAACATGTCAGTGGCAGAAAATGTTACCAATGCGATAACTAGTATGTGCTTATTCTTTAACAGATTATGTGAGAAGGTCCTTGATCCCGATTCACTTGATGATTTAGAAGCCAATCACCACATCACCATGTGCTGTCTTGAACAATATTTTCTGCCATCATTTTTCGATATCATGGTTCATTTGACGGTCCATCTTGTTGCTCAAGTGCGTCTTTGTGGCCCGGTTTTTCTCTGTTGGATGTACCCTTTTGAGAGAAGCATGAAATTCTTAAAAGGGTTTGTCCGCAATCATTACCATCCTGAGGGATGCATTGCCGAATGTTATGTGGTAGAGGAAGCTCTTGAATTTTGTGCTGAGTATATTTCCAACCATGAATCGATCGGATTGCCTACACATTTTGATAAGGATGACCCAATTGAAAGGCCCCTAGGACGTGGGGACACTAAAATAGTTGATTGCTCACTGCTTGAGCAAGCACATCGTACTGTTCTGTTTAATACGCCCGAAGTTCAGCCGTACATAGAGTAAGCTCTCCATTTTTTTATTCCAGTTTTGTTTATTTTGTTTATACTATATAATTTAACTATTTTTGTTTTTAAAAAAAATAGGGAACATATGTTGGAGCTGCGATTGAACTATGATGGTTGTATTGAAACAGAGCATTATCGGATATTTGTTAAGTGGTTTGAAGAGAAGGTTACTCGTTTAAACTTATGGTTAATGATCATATTGAAAATGTTACATATATATACTGAATATTAAGCATATAATTTGTAGGTTCATAATGATGTTGCAAATGGAATTGATGTGGACGAAACTGTCCAGTGGCTAGCTAAAAAACCAAACACAACAGTGACAACATACTCAGGGTACACTGTAAATGGATTTAGTTTTGCTACAAGGGAGCGGGATTTAAGTCGTGTTACACAAAATAGTGGGGTTAGCCTTGTAGCGGACTTGAATTACTATGGCATTCTTACTGAAATTTGGGTCCTTCACTATCTGATGACTAAGAGGGTTGTTTTCAAGTGTGACTGGGTAGATAATAGGCATGTAGAAGAAGATAAACTGGGCTTCACAATACTTGATCTAAATAAGATAGGTCATAAAAAAGATTGTTTTATATTAGCCGCACATGCCAAACAAGTTTTTTATGTGAAAGATCAACTTCATCCAAGAAAATCAGTGGTTTGTTCGGTTGGTCAGAGGGTTAATCACGTTGCAGACGCTGGATGTGATGAAATGGTTATACATGAGCCCCTAACTTCACATTACCCAACACATATTCTGGATTTAGAAACCCCAGATGATGATGAAATCTATGATAGAGTTATTTGTGATGCGGATTGAAAATCCAATTAGTCAAAATTGGAATGAATTCATTGCTACATTTCAGTAAGTTTTACTCTTACATAATTTTCTGGTTTATTTTATTTCAGTAAGTTTATTTTATTTCAGTTGTGTTTTATTTATGATTTGTAATACAATTTAAATGAAATAACTTTATTTGTATGTATAATCATGTTATTATGTAGGATACAGTTTGATATGAAGAGTCATAATGAAAATATGGACAATGTTGATATGGATGAACTGGATGGGAGACCGCGTAGGCGGGAAAAGACAAAGAAGAAGATGATGTTGAAGAAAAGTGCCGATCATAAAGTTGTGGTGGAAGTTAATGAGTTTGGGGTTTTAGCTGGTAAGGGCTGGACGGAACTGTCAAATTACCTTGGGGTTCTCGTCAGGGACCATGTGCCCATCATATTCAGTGACTGGAGAAGAGTAACGCCTAAGTTGAAAGAGAACATGTGGACGCATATTCAGGTAAGAAACTGAATGCATGTGTGTTGCTATTAACTTTGCCAATTAATTTTTTAGTCTTTAAGTGTTTAACTCTTTCAGTTTTTTTAGTCTTTAAGTGTTTAATTACGAGTAGTGCAAAAATAACGGGTGTCTTTGCATGCTATCTTTTCTTATTCGTACTCATTGTTTCTGTCATTGAACAAAACTTTTTCCATCAAAGTGCATAGTATCCTGTATTTTTGCATGTTCGATTTCCAACAAACTCTACTTTTCATTTGTTTTAATTCATTTCATATTTTCAAGGTGTAGGTGCACTCTTTACTCAAGTTGTTTTGAATGCTATTAAAATGCTAATCCTTCCTATTTTAAAAGTGCAATCAGTTTCCTAAATGTGAGTGCCAAGTTAACTATATTCTTGGGAAGTTGCATTTTTTACTCTTTACTGTACATTTTCTACTTACGGTAAATATCTTTAATGTAAGTCACACCAAATATAAAGTCATAAATTTTTTATTATATATAAATTTAAACCATTTTTAGGAAGCTGCATTACTAACTCCTTACTGTAAGCCTTACATGATTCCTTGTGTCTATATATAAGAGTTTTTACATATTCCTATTTCGAATTATGGCTTTAATTTGATATAACATGAAAATGACTAAATGAGAGCTCATAAATTAAAGTAGATTTGTGTGATTTTATAATTTACAAAAAATACAATCTGCTCTCGTTGTAATTTAATGTTCTTTTGGATGTAGGAGTTGTTTGTGTTGCCCCCTAATTCAGAGAAACATATATTCCAAACCATGGGAGCTGCACTTAAAAATTTTAGGAGCACTTTATACACTCAATTTATTGCACAACACTTGGATGATCTTGAGAAGTTAAGTTTACCTCCAATAGAATATAAGAACATTGGTACCGATGAATGGAGAATATTTGTGAAGAGGTGCTGTAGTGAAGAATTCCAGGTGATAGAACATACTAATGCATGCATTTATTATAAGTAGAAATATTTTTTGTATATGTAATAATTTTGTTAAATACTTTTAGGAAATAAGCAAAAAAGCAAGTGAAAATCGAAAGAAGAATATATATAACCACCGACTAGGTTCGACAGGTTATGGAGGGTTGCTTATAAAGAAGGTTTGTTCTAATCTTCCATTTTTTTAATTTGGTTGTGTATATCAGTATTTGCTTCATTTACCTTTTTTTTTTCAAAACTGAAAGAAAGAAGAACTTGGAATTAATATCAACAACATTGATCGAGCGGATACATGGCTCCTGGGAAGAGAAAGAAAAGATGGTGGATATGATCCCGAGGTTTTGGAAGTTGCAGAAGAAATAGTAAGGGCTGTGATAATTTTATGAATTTGAACATATATCTTTTAGTAATAATCAAGTCTGATTCCCATTGTATTGGGGTCAATCAATTGACTCTTTTTAATGCTCTTTGTAGAACACAAAAGATGGTCTTTGACATAATTTGGTAATGCTCTAGTGATGTTCTGATGTAACTTGTTTGTTTGTGTAGAAGGAGCTGAAAAATAAGGTGGACGACGGATCATTTGTGCCTCGTGGAGACAATGATGTGCTCTCACTTGCTCTTCAGAAAAAACCAAATGGCAGTAGAGTACAGGGTCTGGGGCACTTCATTACCCCAACACAGTACTTTCACACGCCAAGGGCAGCCATAACCGAGAAGGACAAAGTGCAAGAAGTATGTGATAGAAGGTATGCGATGATGTTGCAGAAGTTTGGTGAAATGAAAGATCATGTGTCCAATGCTTTTAGTGAAATTGGTAGCTGCAGCAATGCCAATAAATCTCTGAAAAGGAAGGTAAAGTCATATCTTTAGTAGATATTTTAGCACCTTAATTATTTACACTTTTATCAAAAACTTATAAGACCCAATCGGAGTTTGGGCCTATTCGGCATTAAAAAATGTTGGTGAACTTATTCTTATCTTCATATCGAGACAACTTATTCTTACACGTTATAAAGAATTTTTAAGCAAAATTCAGAATGTTAGTTGAAGATTTGTTCCGCTTTACATAGAAACTAGGACTATTTTCTTTCATTCTTTATCGGATACCCCTAGATTTTTATGCATCTAGGGGATTTTATGCAGATAAGGCTAATTTTATGATCTCTAAAGCTACTGGGAGAAAAATAACTATGATTTGTTCTTTCGTTTCATTGCTGTCAATATGAACTTACTAGTAACAAATGCCTAAGGTTATTAACACGTATGAAAATCTCTAAGGTTGGTGTAGAGGTTGAACAGTCGGTGTTTAGTCCTATGAAGGAACGCTGCAGTGCTCCTAGAAAATCTCCCAGATTCAAGTCAAAACATAATGAAATGGAGGGTAATAATGAACAACCCGATGGAGAGAGTCGTGGAAGGCAAAAGGTATGTACAACTACATCTTGCAGTGAATTTTTAATTAGATATCATTATTAATAAATAGTTAACTTATATTCTATGATATAGACTGTTGCAGAGGTGGAGAAACCAACATTTACTCATCGGAAGAAGCTATTTGGAAGCGTTCCCAGAAGATCCCCTCAGCACATAAGCAAGGATACTTTAGGACAAGCCAATGCTCACTCCCATGATATGGTTAGACGTCCAGTTATGTTGCATATTTTTGTTTGATTAAATAGGATAGTTATGTTTGTAAATTACATGCACACTTTGTGCTACATACAGGATATGAATGAAGAGGAAGATAAGTCTCTTGCAGAGCCCAAAAATGGAAAAGAGCAGTCAATAGATCATATGGAAAATGAACGAGTGGAGGGAAAAGAAAAACAGGGGTGCGATGTGGTATTTGTGAATGAGAAAAGGACTGGAATGAAAGCTAAGTCCCCACTAAATGTGCAACGAATGACCAGGTCCGTTGCTGAAAAAAGAAAAGAGCAAAGCGCTAACATGATGATGTTTTGCATTTTAGTGGAAAATTGTCTAGGAGAGATGAACAGTATCAAGCAAGATGCTGAAATTTTTGGATTCCAAACAAAATCTATCTTTAACAAGGAGGTTTGTCGCTTGGTTATCAACTTTGAGCAAGTTTCAAATTCAGTTGTTGAAATCTGGGCCAGGTAATAAGTTCCCATTTGGCATATATTAAATTCAGTTGTTTGAAAATCATTGCATTAAAGTATGAAGAAATAATAGTATCCTATTATAGACATCAAAATGAATGTGTGAAAACTAGAATCATGAGTTTGTACAGCCCCTGCTAGTGACTAAGCTTAAAATAGAATCCATACATGTGGTTGGATAATCTGATGGGCCAGCAAAAGAATCATTAGTCCTGCTCTTCACCCAAACTAGCACATGAGTGCTTAAGGCCAACAACAATCCCACAATGGTATAAAGAAACCTACAGTGAGCCCTTCCAACATGGGAGACCCATGTTAAAAGAAAACCAGTTTGAAGGATCACTATTGTAGGCCATAAACATTGGCAGTTTCGTAATTATATATGCATTACCCCTCCAACTTACTAGTATCTTACTTTAATAAGTTCCTACTTGGAATGACTTAATAGGCACTTGCATGAAAAAATGGAGGCTGATGGAGGGGACATGCCAGTTCAGTTTGGCACTTCTGCTGCCATAGCAATACCAAAGAAGGCATCACACCAAGCGATTACAAGAAGGTCACAATATATAGCCGATCTTTTGGATATTTCCTTGCCTGGGCAAATGACTTTAATCCCCTATAATACCGGGTAAGTAATCTGTTTTGCAAACTATTTGTGTCCTGTTTTGTAATCTGTTTCTAAGAGATATTTACATATAGTGACCTTGTTATGTAGGAATCATTGGGTGCTGGTTGCTATCGACATGATGGCTCAAACAGTCTACTACCTAGATTCAATAGGAGGAATTCCAACGAAAGATTTGGAGGAAATAGTGAACCAGTTAAGTTACATAGGCCCTTTAAATGTAAATCTTGATTGCATGTACAGATTATGAAAAAATATTGGATCGGTTGAATTTAATAATGACCGTGTGTTTCCTTTTCAGAGGGGTGACGATTAATCATGCCCAAAAATCTAAGACAAGGTTGAATTTGAAATGGGTGAGAGTAATGGTATGTACATTTTTATATTCATTATCAGTTTTAGTATAAATTTAATTATCTAAGTCGACACTTTATATATGTGTGTAAACTGTATTATACTTGGATTAGAGGTTTCTTGACTGTATAAGGTAACAAACAGAACTGGTGCTTTACTATAACTTGTTCTTTGTTTTTACTAAATCTATGGTTTGTATTTACTGTCTATTTTAATTGAATATATGCAGTGTCCTAAACAAACAGGAGTCGTTGAGTGTGGTTACTTCTTGATGAAGTATATGAAGGACATTGTATCAGACGTGAATCTGTTGAAACGGAATGTGAGCGCAATTGGAACTTTTGATTTTTGTTAATTAAATTATTGTATGTTGTAATAAAGTAAGTGCTAATTAATTTAATTTTATATTGAAGTTCTCTACAATCAAGGAGTATACCGAAGATGATATTTTACGTGTGCGTGAGGAGTGGGCTTTGTATGCTGCTACTTTGATAAAAAAGTAAGTTCACATTTAAAATAAACTGAAAATAAGTTTCATATATATAATATGGTTGTAATATTATATTTTGTTTGATGTGTAGTTTGCAAGCGGATCCTACAAAGGCTTGATGATATGCACGGGGAGATGCATTTCGGATTATATTGTTGATGGTCGGTGTTAATTATGTCATCTATGTAGAATGTAGAGGCAGGCAGCTGGTCACACTTTTGATAACTAAACATTGGTACTTGTTGGGAATGTGACTTCGTTTGTATTTTAGCATCTTCAATGATGCTTGGTAGTAGTTTTTTTGCTGGATTCTATAGCCGCTTTTTTTGCAAGAATTGTATGGCTATTTTTTTGCGGGAATGTTGCTGGAATTTTGCTACATCTTTTATCCAGTGGTAGGAAATGTAAATGAACAAGAATATGAAGTTGTTACTGAATATTTTACTGAATATTTTTTCTTAAATGTATGTGTTTGGGTATCCACTAATTTTTGGAAGCTATATTTATTTATGAATAAAATAAATTAAATTAGATTTCTACTCAATATGCATAAAATCTATGATGCTGAAGTGTCACTAAATGTTGTGATGAATTAGTATCACAATTTGTTCTGATGTATAAACGTCGCTATCTTAAATGATACATTAGTGTCATAAAAATCTATGATGCTGAAGTGTCACTAAATTTTGTGACAAATTAGTATCACAATTTGTCCTGATGTAAAAATGTCACTTTCTTAGACGACACATTAGTGTCATAATTCGTTGACACAAAAACGTTCCCGTATTAGTGACACTTTATTTAGTGTCACTGGCCGACACTTTTCCCGACGCTTTTTTAGTGTCACAGAAAGTTTTTGTGACACTAAATTAGTGTCACTATAGGCTATTTTTCTACTAGTGGTAATTAGGCACATCCATGACCAACCATTCCAAAAAAAAAAAAACTAACTCATCCCCATACTGAACCAAAACCCATTTGCACACTTAAGGTATACACTAGCAGGTGGTTGAGCCTTGAGTGTGTACCATTGCTTGCCCACTAAAGTCGGAGCTATAGATGATACCCTTTCGGGTAAGAACCCTAGTTGTGCCTTGATGCCCTTTGATTACGTTTACATCTGACCGTTTTTAGATTTTTGGCCTAAACCATCACCTTGCTACCCCATACCTTTCATCCATCTTAACCATCCCAATAAGCTCTTTTGATCATGCCTTGAGTTTAGAACGTGAGAGAGAGGTGACCTTGTGAGGATAAGAGTGGAAAAATGTTGACCATGTGCTTGTGTTACTCCTTGCTTGTCTCTATGTTGAAAGAATTAATCAATGTGCATCTTTATCTTGATTATGCATTTTGTCTCATGACATTCACTATTTCTTGTATACACTCATTCATTCTTGACTCAATTGGTTGGTGCCTTGGGAACTCATTGAACTTGTGCTCCGAGTTTTAGTTTGCTTGAGGACAAGCAAAGACTCAAGTGTGGGGGAACTGATACGTGTGAAAACACTTAATACTTTCTCATAAAATATGGTCTTTGTTTGTTAACCTTTGAAGATTTTTGCCCCATTTTGGTTAAATTTGTGCAATATTTTGGTTGTAGGAACCATGATAAGTATTTGAGCATTGTAGGGGTGAAAACGAGCATTTTGAAGAGTCTCGAGAGCATAAATGGATGAATTGAAAACCCCGGGGACCAAGCGGAGCACAAGGAAGCAAGAAATGAAGACTTGGATGTGTTTTGGTGGAAGTAGCATCAGGAACGCCATAGGGAACGCCGTCCCTTCCGGCGTTCCCCCGTTTTGTTCCACCGGATTTCTGATACAATGTCCCAGGTGTGGGAACGCTGGCAGGGAACGACGTTCCTGTCAGCGTTCCTGAGAGAACGACGTCCCATTTGCGTTCCTCCCAGCGTCGAACTCTCTGCCAGCGGGTTGTTTGATTTTGTAAAGTCAGGAACGCTGAGGGGGAACGCCGTTCCTGCCTAGCGTTCCCCCGATTCCCCATTTGTATAAATAGCAATTCTTGTTCGAATTTCCACAATTTTGGACGAGCTCTCTTCTTGCAAACCCTAGTTTTGGTTGTAAGCTTGCTTAAACTCAATTGCACTTCATTTCTTAATATTAGTTGCATCAAATCTTGAATCTAGCTTCATTTAATCCATTAGATTGCATCATTATCATATTTCCCTAATCTCATCCATTGATCTCACTTCATGTCTATGTCTAATATCTCTCCTATGAATATGAAATCTAGCATGAGTGAGTAGTTGGATTAGGGATTGGGGGTGTTTGAGGAACATCCAACCATGTGATGTGTTAGGTTTTAGGGTTTGAGTTTGGGGAATTTGAGAAATATATTATGCACACAATGTGTTTGTGAAAATGTTTCTTTGTATTTCTAAGACTTTGATGGCCACAATGTTCTTAGATGATGCTTTGGATCCTCAAGGAGACTTGTAGGGTTCTTTTTGACACATTCACACACACACTACCTCCTCTCCATGAGAATGGGAGAAAGTAGGGGAATAAATTGTTGGTTGGTCTTCTTTGCATGACTTTGGATTTCTATTGGACCATGAGAATGGCCAATAGGAGCCCTTAGTACCCCCTTGACCATGAGAGCGGCAAGGGAACTTGTACCTATCCCTTTGTTGCATGATATATTCCCAAGTATCCCCATTTTGACCCCTTATCCTTAATCATAGGTTGTTCCTTGTATGCCCCCGCTTCCCTTCTAGTTTAATCATTATCTATTTCCATTGCAATCTAGTTGTTCTCTTAAATCAAACATACATCGACTTGGCTAGCTTACATCTTAGATTTCTAGATTGATGTCACACTTGATTTTCCTTATACACCGTCCCGTGAGACGATATCCGGGACTTCCACATCCCGACACCCGATGAGCTTCATTGTGAAAATGACTCGTCAATGTACTTCTCCTGACATAGCCATAACTTGTGATTCTTCCTGTCTCGAGTGATCTGCATCCCAAGAATCTGTTGAGCCGGTCCTAAGTCTTTCATATCAAAAGACTTTGAAAGTTCTTTCTTCAGCTGGTTTATCTTCACTGCATCTTTCCCAACGATCAACATGTCGTCTACATATATTAGAAGAGCAATGAAGGTACCGTCTGGAAGTTTCTTGATGTATACACACTCATCTGCAGTAGTCTTCTTGTAGCCTTGACTCTTCATGCATGAGTCAAACTTCTTATTCCACTGCCTTGGTGTCTGCTTCAAGCCATACAAACTTTTAGATAACTTACACACAAAGTTATCATTTGAGTTCTCAAAACCTTCCGGCTGCTGCATATAGATTTCTTCTTTCAAATCTCCATGAAGAAATGTTGTCTTCACATCCATCTGTTCAAGCTCCAAGTTCATACTTGCTGCCAAGCCAAGTATAACTCGGATTGAGGTCATCTTGACAACTGGTGCAAAGATCTCATCAAAGTCAATTCCCTTCTTCTGTTGGAATCCTTTGACAACCAACCGAGCTTTGTGTTTCACCACTTGTCCGCTTGCATCCTTTTTCAGCTTGAACACCCATTTGTTCCTCAGTGCCTTCTTCCCTTTAGGAAGTTCCACGATCTCATAAGTTTGATTTTTCTGCAGAGATTCTAACTCATCCTGCATTGCTATTAGCCATTTTTCCTTATGAGACACAGCTTCTTGAAAACTCTCCGGTTCTCCATCTTCAGTTAACAAAAGATATTCAGATGATGTGTACCTTGTCGATGGTATATGCCCTCGTTCAGATCTACGAACAGTATGAACCATCTGAGAAGAGATACCATCATCTGTGTCTGGCGGGGTGGATTGTGTCTCCTCTTGCTCTGCACTCTCTTCTGTCTCCTCGTGTTCTTCTGTTTCTGAGTTATCTTCATGCACTTCGTCCTCTTCTGGTGCTTCATTTGAAACTTGAGCACCCTCATTTGACTTCCGAGACATTGTGGGTTTTTCAATGTCTTCTATTGTCAAATCTTCGTGGAACACAACGTCCCTACTTCTGAACATCTTTTTCTCTTTAGGATCCCATAACCTATATCCAAACTCTTCATTTCCATAGCCAACGAAAATGCATGGGATAATTCTTGCATCGAGCTTCTGCCTGAGCTCTTTGGATACATGTGCATATGATGAACAACCAAATACTCTAAGATGTGAGTATGTAGGATCCTTACTTGTCCATAGCCTCTCTGGAACTTCAAAGTTCAGTGGTACTGAAGGTGATCGGTTGATAAGATAGCATGCGGTGTTGACTGCTTCTCCCCAGAATGACTTAGGAAGTTTAGCCATATTCAGCATGCTCCGGACACGCTCCATGATAGTCTGGTTCATTCTTTCAGCAACGCCGTTGTGCTGAGGGGTGCGTGGTACTGACTTCTCATGTCGAATGCCATATTCTCTACAATATGAATTGAACGCCTTGGAAGTATACTCACCTCCATTTTCAGATCAGAGACATTTCAACTTCTTTCCTGTTTCACGTTCCACCAAGACGTGAAATGTCTTGAAGCTCTCGAACACCTGATCCTTCGTAATCAGGAAATACACCCACACTTTCCGAGAAGCATCATCGATAAAAGTCAGAAAATATCTGCTTCCACCGATTGATTCCACCTCGAAAGGACCACAGACATCGGAGTGTACCAAACTTAACAACTCCGATCTTTTAGTTGAAGTAGAACTAAATGATACTCTATGTTGCTTACCAAACAAACAATGACTGCAAGGACCCAGTGCAGCGTTCTTGTCGATGTTGATAAGGTTCTTCTTCATCAAGGTAGTCAACCCTTTCTCACCGATGTGGCCGAGTATCAGGTGCCACAGATTCTGAGAAGTCTCCTCAGCAATGCTGAGGCTATCCGTACAAATCCTCAAATGGGTTTTGTACAATGTGCCACAAACATGTCCTCGAGCGATTGTCAAAACGCCCTTTGACATTTTCCAGGTGCCCCTGTTAAAGTGGTTTTCATACCCCTGTTCGTCAAGACATACCACTGACAGGAGGTTGAGCCGAAGGTCTGGAACATGTCTGACATCCTTCAAAGTGATTGTGCTCCCAGTACTCGTCTTTATTTGAACATCACCAATTCCAGCTATTCTAGAGGAACTGGAATTGCCCATCTTCACTGCTCCAAAGTCTCCAACTTTGTAAGTTGTGAAGTAGTACCTGTGGGGAGTAACATGGTAGGATGCTGCAGTATCTACCACCCATTCAGTGTCCTCTCTTGAGACGTGAAGGCATGCTTCATCATTGATAGTATAATACGCCACATCACCTGAGATTGTGATGAGCGCTTCACCACCCTTGTTCTTTGCTTGAGAATTGCTCTTGCCTCGCTCCTCTAGCAATTTGTAGCAATTCTTCTTCATGTGACCCTCTATACCGCAATGGTGGCAGGTATAAGAAGATTTCCGGCCATCCAATG